CCCCAAAACCCCAAAACCCCAAAACCCCGCCACATTGAATAAATAAAGAATAAATTAAATTATTGTTAATTTTATTCAAAGACTGATATATCTTAAATTAAAATTTAAATATGCAAACTTTAAATTACATTCATATAAAGAATAAATAAACTTAGTCTTCTCCACCAATGTCTAATCCTACTCAATAACTTTCATCTTCGGGAGTATTCTACACTCCCTCTTTTGGGACACCTGGTATTTCCTCCTCATAGGCAAATAATGGCCGAAAAAACTGCAATTGCAAGAATTCGAGGTGTCTTAAACTATATTGCGAATGCTTTGCAAGTGGCGAATATTGCAAAAATTGCAATTGCAATGGATGCTGCAACAACATTGAGAATGAATCAATCCGCAAGGAGACCATATCAACAATACTTGAAAGGAATCCCAACGCCTTTAGACCTAAAATTGCTAGTCTACCGCCTTCATCACCCTAAGTTACTCAGAAAACAGGCTAGATAATCAATCCTTAAATAAATATTGGACTAAGTACTCCTATAGTAGCAGGGGTCAACGATGGAGTCACTGGAAAGCATGCTAAGGTAAATTTTTGAATTTTGAATTTGAATTTGAAATTTAACGTCTTTTAATTAGGGATGCGCATGTAAGAAATCAGGATGCTTAAAAAAATACTGTGAATGCTTCCAAGCTGGCATCTTTTGTAGTGATAATTGCAAATGCTGTGATTGCAAGAATTATGATGGATCCCTTGACCGTAGAATATTACTTGATAGTAATGGCTAGATTGGTGTACCGATGTCTCCAACTGTGCCTAACTTATTTAGGCAATAGTCAGGCGGCGTCTTTGGCTCAAGTTCTCCTAACACATTACTTCAAAATAAAACAGTCTAATAAACTCATCATGGTCATCATTAAACTTATAGTTCAAGTGGACAAGGTCCCTTCATGAATCTGTTTGCGAAATAATTCTCAGAATAACCTAAACTATCAAGTGGTGGAGCAATAGACCTTTAATAGCAGTAGGAATAAAATCTAAAATTGTTCAGTAATGAGTTTGGTATCAAATTCACCAAGATGAATGTGGAGAAGTAACTATCTGATAGTCAATTACTATAAGGTAATAGTGGTAAATAAACAAATCTATCAAATAATGGAAAGTATATGACAAATAGTGGAACCAATTCAACACTAGCAACCACAACAATCAAAAATATAATTACACCTTCGTTTGATAATTGCTTAGGCTTAAGTGTAATAAGTACAGCAGCCAATTCAATAAATACATTTATGAATGACTCTGACGATCACAATAGCAATCAAAGCCTCTCTCCTAATTAGGGTGAGAAAGATGCTACCTAGAAATAAAAAGAAAGCTTGTTAAATAAAAAAAGAGACAAAAAGAGGTAATTTAAGCAAGTCAACTACCTCACAATGCTAAACTAAATAATTGACAATCAATATATGGATGATAAGCTTACGCAATTTTTAAACATCCTTGAATAAAAGAATCCTGAGTAATAAATGCTTGATTAAAGCTAGTAGCACTAAGATATAGAAGGTATTTTACTTATATCAATAATTATTGTATAGAAAAATAAGTGCTGGGAAAGAGAGTAAGGTCTTTGAGACATTTGTATAAAGAGCCAGCTGATGTATAGCAGAAAAGACAAAGGAAATTGCTTAGCTTTTTCCTTGAATCTATCAATGAATTAAATCATAGATTAGATAATTATCAACCACAACCTATCATTAATACGATAAAGAAAGATAGCAGTGCTATCTAAATTAAAAAAGAAGAAGTCGATAAAGAACAATGATAATAATTTATTTTATTCAATTATATTGAGTCCCTATATTTAAAATTTTGTCAATAATGTTTTACCAGTTTGCTTACCCTAGCGAGTTTATCTTCGTCGGGGTTTTGGGGTTTTGGGGTTTTGGGGTTTTGGGG